TACCAATGACCTTGTTCACAGAACTGGAAAAAACCACCTTAAACTTCATATGGAACCAAAAGAGAGCCGCATAGCCGAGTCAATTCTAAGCAAAAAGAACACAGCAGGAGGCATCACACTACCGGACTTCAAACTATACTACAAGGCTACAGTAATCAAAACAGCATGGTACTGGTACCAAAACAGAGATATAGACCATACAGTCTTTGATAAACCTGACAAAATCAAGCAATGGGGAAAGGATTCCCTGTTTAATAAATGGTGTTGGGAAAACTGGCTAGCCATGTGCAGAAAGCAGAAACTGGACCCCTTCCTGACACCTTACACTAAAATTAACTCCAGATGGATTAAAGACTTAAACATAAGACCTGGCACTATAAAAATCCTAGAAGGAAATCTAGGCAAAACCATCCAGGACATAGGAGTATGCAAGGACTTCATGAACAAAACACCAAAAACATTGGCAACAAAAAGCCAAAATAGACAAATGGGACCTAATCAAACTCCACAGCTTCTGCACGGCAAAAGAAACAGTCACTAGAGTGAATCGGTAACCAACAGAATGGGAAAAAATTTTTGCAGTTTACCCATCTGACAAAAGGCTGATATCCAGAATTTACAAAGAACTCAAACAGATTTACAGGAAAAAAACAAACAAGCCCATTCAAAATTGGGCAAAGGATATGAACAGACACTTTACGAAAGAAGACATATATGAGGCCAACAATCATATGAAAAAATGCTCATCATCACTGGTCATCAGAGAGATGCAAATCAAAACCACATTGAGATAGCATCTCACGCCAGTTAGAATGGCGATCATTAAAAAATCTGGAGACAACAGATGCTGGAGAGGATGTGGAGAAATAGGAACACTTTTACACTGCTGATGGGAGTGTAAATTAGTTCAACCATTATGGAAGACAGTGTGGCGATTCGTCAAGGACCTAGAAGTAGAAATTCCATTTGACCCAGCAATCCCATTACTGGGTATATATCCAAAGGACCATAAATCGTTCTGCTATAAGGACACATGTACACGAATGTTCATTGCAGCACTGTTTACAATAGCAAAGACCTGGAACCAACCCAAATGCCCATCGATGATAGACTGGACTGGGAAAATGTGGCACATATACACCATGGAATATTATGCAGCAATCAAAAAGGATGAGTTTGTGTCCTTTGTAGGGAAATGGATGAATCTGGAGAACATCATTCTCAGCAAACTGACACAAGAACAGAAAATGAAAGACTGCCTGTTCTCACTCATAGGCAGGTGATGAACAATGAGAACACATGGACACAGGGACGGAGCACTACACACTGGGGTCTATTGGGGGGAATAGGGGAGGGACAGCAGCAGGAGCTGGGGAGGGATAGCATGGGGAGAAATGCCAGATGTGGATGAAGGGGAGGAAGGCAGCAAATCACACTGCCATGTGTGTACATATGCAACTATCTTGCATGGTCTGCATATGTACCCCAAAACCTAAAATGCAATAAAAAAAATAAAAGTCTCTATCTCTGAGTATATGAGAACTGGTAAGCTCAAAATGTGGAAGTATTGTATCGAGCATAGAGGACCTTGTATCATCTATAATAATGGTAGAAACATCATCTCTTCAGAAACACCCAGTGAATGATTTTGTTTAAAATGAGCAGGTTAAACCTTTTGAGATTTGCTTCAGATGGACATGTAGGCCACTTCTACATATGGACAGAAAGTGCCTCTTGCATATTAGATAATCCATATGGTACTTGGTACAATGTACTTCCACGAAGAATAACTACAGTCTTTCATGTATAAAATCTTAGCAGAAGTGTTTAAAAGCTTTCTGAGCACCACACAAGAAGATGGACTGAGAGTTCTGGAGAAAAACCTACTAAAGAAGCTAAGTTTAATCACCAGGACTATGTATTGCAAGATGCCTTCGGCAGTCCAGGCACCACAGATTCAAATGGATAAAGGAAACAGCATCAGCAGAGCGTTATTCACAGAGTAGATGTGAAGTTGACACTAGGCAGGTCTAGCTGACTCTAGCCTCTGGAAGAGAAGAGAGAAAGAAGAAAGGCTTTTGGCCAGGTATGTGCCACCATGCCCGGCTAATTTTTGTATTTTTAGTAGAGATGGGGTTTCACCATGCTGGTCAGGCTGGTCTCAAACTCCTGACCTCAGGTGATTGACCAGCCTTCGTCTCCCAAAGTGCTGGGATTACAGGCATGAGCCACCACGTTCAGCCAGAACCAGTATATTTTTTAAAAGCCTGTTGTAAATTTGAATTTGTATGCCTCTAAAGGTTAATTCGATTTGACAGCTTATTTTGAATTTTTGAATATTATAGACATAAAAGTCAGTGAGAAAACATTTAAAAAATAAAGACTGAGGATTAAAAGATATTTTTTCAGACAAAAACTGAGATAATCTTCTGCAGATCTTGTCTGAAAGATCGTGATTCTGTTAGAGGCTGAAGGAAAGTAATCCCAGATGAAAGGTCTGAGGTTTTCGGAGTGAACAGCAAAGAAAGTGGCAAAATGTGGGCAAAGAGAAATGATTTTTGGCTCTATAAAGTGGTTACAAAAATGTCCATGTGTGTTAAATAAAAAGTTTAGAGTTAAAATTCAGACAACAATCAGCTGACTGGATAAATTGAGTGGAAGTGTTCTAAGATCTATTTAATAGCCAGCAGGAGGATAAATATATTGATTAATTTTATACATCAAAATGTTACATATACACATTGTGATTTTTAGGGTAACTGCTAAAGAATAGAAACAGTATTTAACTCCCAACATTTTGAAGAAAAAATGAAATGATTTAAAAATATTCAATCCAAAAGGTTAGAAAGGAGGAAAAAAAATCTACAACAGATCCTTCAAATAGAGAACACACATTTTTAGACCTACCCCCATCTGTATATAATATAACTACATTAAATGCAAAGGATCAAATATTTCAGTTAAAAGACAAGAGATCATTGGACTGGATAAAAATTCCAATTACTGACTTTGAAAATAAAAAGGATACAAAGACTAAAAGAAAAAGAATGGAAAAATTATGCAATAGAAATATAAAAGAAAGTGTAACTGTATCAACTTAAGGCAAAATAAAAATTATGTATTAAATTATTATATCTTTCACTTAAAAGACAAAGATGGTCCTGTCTAGATAACAAATAGTAAAATCCACTAAGAGAAAAACCTAAACATAAAGAAAGGTTAAAAGTGAAAAGATTTAAAAAGACATACCATTCGATATTAATCTAAAGAAAGCTTGTGTCACTAAGTTAGTATCTGACAATAAATGGTCATAGGTTGGGTTCTCCTGAAGCGGACACTGAGATGGATTGTGGAGAGCAAGAGGTAGATGAGGTAAAACGCCTGCAAAGGGAAGCGGCCTGAAGCAGGATTGAGCAGAGGGAGAGGCTGAACTGCAGTGCAGACCTGACAAAGCCTTGACCAGCTTGGGTAGAACTAGGCAGGAGGAGGAGGTGATTGGGAAGGGGGCCTCCTGGAGTTCCAAGGCACTGGTAGTGTTCCATTTCTTCAGCTGGATGGGGGCGTTGGGTACACAAACGTTTAATTTTTATTCTTTAGTTCCTAAACATTCTACAAATCGTGTCTGTATCTATTGAATATATCATTAAAACAGCATTTAAAATATTACATGTAACATAGCATTATAGATTTGAATTCCTGATCAGGTCTTCTCTTTAACTTGGGCACAGAACTGAACCCCTCTGAGCCTCAGTTTCCTCCTGTGTAAGGAATTGAATCTCTGCTAAACACCCTAGTGACTTCCTCTTACCCTTTGAAGTCTAGACTCCTTATTATGGCTCACAGACCCCCGGGCCTGGCAGCTGCCTGCCTTTGAACATAGCCTGCACACCTTCTCATTGCCCATCCAGCTCTGGTCTCCCTGGCCTCTTCCTGGGATCTGCTGAGCTCCTGCCACCCACGGGCTTCATGCCGGCTGCATGTTTCCTTTGCCTGGAAGGCTTCATGGCCCCTCAACTTGTGAGCCTCTATCCAAAAGGCCTTTGGCCAGAGAGGCCTTCTGCTACCCCCTCCATCCAAAGGGTCATCCCATCTTCCCTCATCTCTAGTTTATCTTCCTGCCCACCTTTATTTTCTTCATGGCACCTGTTATTATTTCAGCTCATGTTACTTATATGTTTGCTTATTTCCCATCTGACCCTGTCACAAGTACGGGCGGTGTCTTGCACCCCATCCCCAGACCTGGCAGGTAGGAGGCATGGACAGACGTTGTAAAGTGGAGAGAGGCACCAGTTCTTGCCTCCTTGTGTTCTCCTCCATTTTCACCTGGCCAGTTTGTCCCAAGGAGGAGCTCTGCAGTGGTTTGTAGATATACTGATAATGCAAAATAAAAAGCAGTGAATAGGGACAAGCAGATAGAACCCAGGGGTGGTAGAGACACATTGACCACGATGCCCTTCACGGTGCAGCTGAAAGTGAGCCATCAAGCGGACTTAGCGCCCCACAGTGGTCAGATCAAAGTGCTGCAACAGCAGAGGGGTTAGGAGCTGGATCTGAAGCCAGAGCACCTGAGTCTGACTTTGGTGCCTCCCCTTCCTCACAGGTGACCTTCATTTTCCTCATCTATTAAGAGCCTTCTTAGTCTCCTTGGTAAAGTAGGGATTATCATGATCCCAAATCCACAGAGCTGTTGAGAGGCTTAAATGACATGAGATTGTTAAGTCTTGGGACACAGTACCTGCTCATTAAGTGTCAGCGGTAATTATTTAATTTGCACATTATCTTAGGAGGAGTAAATTCTTCTATATTTCATTTTACGGATGAGAAAACTGAGGCCAGGGGAAACTAAGTAATTTGCCCTAGTTCATGCTTCTGGCAGACAGTAGCCTTGCATCTTAAAACAGACTATTTGGAAATCCTTGTAATGTTGATCTCTGCCTATCCTATGTAAACATTTATTCGGTTAAAATGTTTTAATAAAGATTTTTTTTTTAATTTCTAAGGGGAGATGAGAATGAAATGAATGGCTGTTGTACATTAAAAGAACTTGAAATCCAAGTGGGAGAAAAGGTAATAGAAATTTTAAAGAATTGATTTTCCTCCACCCCACCTGTCATCAGCGGTAACTGTTAGCAGAGGCAGAGGACAGAAAATGAGCCACACCTCGTCCTCCGAGTTCCCTTGTCACCACTGTCCGACTAAATAGATTTCCTGATAACAAGCCCGTGTGGAAGCTTCTGTTCCGATGGCTTCGTCTTGGATCACATCTCTTTCGGTGAATGACACCAGCAGAAGTCCTGGAATATTAATTACTTTTGTATTAACTTTAGATCATCATTAGTAGGGCTGCCTTTTCTGCCTTTGTCTAAGACAAAGCTGAGCAGGTTTTTCTTTAGAGAGGGAAAACGAAAACGACGGCTTTGCCGCAGTCAGTGCCAATCAAGAGCAGCATAGTAAAAATAACCAGTCAAACTCCAAGTGATGTATCTTTAAGTATGGAGTAATTTAGCCATAAAAGCTACTCTGTGTTCGGAAAAAGAGCATATAGCATCGCTCCTATTTGCTGATTGTGGTTAGATCTCGCTGCACACAGCTAAGGAGGGGAGGAGAGGATAATGTCATTCAAGGGTTGGAATCAGACTCCTTTTTAAAATGCATTTGGGCCTGTCAGTTACATGAGCAGTTTGAGAATCATGGTTTAATTTATTTGATTCAATATGTTGGTTTGAAATGTGACAAATTTTCTTTCTTTTTTGAACTCTTCTGAGACTCATATATTTCATACTCAAAAATAGCCAGAGATCCACAAAATGTTTGTCTCCATTTCCCTGGCTGATACCATTAACACCAGAAGATTCATCTTAGAAGTATAATTTCTTAGCATTATGTGTTTCTAAAGACCTATTTTCACTATAGTTTGTATTAGTAAGAAGCCTGCTATAATTATCTGCTGCTTTTGCTGTGACCCATTTGTTATTCTGTAAGAAATTTGTCATGCAATTGCTATTATTCAGGGGTGCATGTCTTTTTGTCTCTTTAAACCGTGTTAATCATGATATGCTTCTGGAAAAGTCCACTGTGTGTGACAGTGATCACAGCAGCAGAAACATAATTCAACATGACTTTGAGTGCGGAGATACAGACAAAGGCCAGGATCTGTAAATGGCCCAAAATAAGGCTGTGGTGAGCGAATCTCAAGTGGAACTCCATCACCATCCATCCTTTCCGTTAATGTTTTAAATCCCATCCTCTGCCCCATGGAAACTCCCTGCTGAGAGTTTAAACCCAGGCAGTTTTCATGCCACTGCCTATGAGAACAAAGGTGGAGGGAAAAGGTAACGCTAAGTACCAGCGTAGTGGAGGGTTCTCTGCGCCGGTGTTCAGCCAGCACAGACCGTAGCCCCAATTCTACCTACGACCCCAACCCTGGACATGCAGCGGAGATGAGAGGAGACTGACCCCGGGACACGGGCAGACCTGGGTTTCTGTCTTGGGGCTCTGCCAGGTGGCCTTAGGCAAGTCCTCATCATTGGGTTTCTTCACCCTTCAGCTGCCACCTTCACATGCTACTGTGGGGCTTAAAAACATCCAGAATAGGCTGGTCTAGGGCTCACACCTGTAATCTCAGCACTTCAGGAGGTTGAGGCAGGCAGATCACGAGGTCAAGAGATCGAGACCATCCTGGCTGACATGGTGAAACCCCATCTCTACTAAAAATACAAAACTAGCTGAGCGTAGTGGCATGCACCTATAGCCCCAGCTACTTGGGAGGCTGAGGCAGGAGAATTGCTTGAACCTGGGAGGTGGAGGTTGTAGTGAGTCGAGATTGTGCCATTGCACTTTAGCCTGGTGACAGAGCGAGACTCCATCTCAAAAAAAAAAATTCAGAATAAAGCACCTGGAACAGAACACTTAAAAAATGCCAGCTATTATTATTATGCTTATCCATACAGCTTCCTTTGAAGTACAGGTAGGAACACAAATGAATCTCATTCCTTTCCAGCCCCTCCACCTCCAAATGAGAACAAATCAGTATACCCCTCAACCTTGTGCTATGTGCAGTAGCATGCTTCTAATGAAGACTCTGACCCTTCTAATGGTCACTCACTAATGTTGGAGGCTGACAAGAAGACTTAGGAATTATCTAAGTAAGCCTCTCTTCATATACATGTCATTGCTGGGTGATGGTTACAGTTTGGGAATGAAAGATTGCTAATTATTTTAAATATAAGTCCACGTGGCTTACCTGAGCCAAGAATGCATGCAAATGCCTCTGAATTTTTGGAGCCAGATGCATGTGTGGACTGGCCTTCCTACACCAGCAAATCATTAGCAGTGGGAACCCCAAACCAGCTAGACCCCAGCACTCCTATTTCCTGATTGTTTTCTTCTGCAGTGAGCTTGGGCTGATGGCTGGTTTGTTAGCCTCTCTCTTCTTCACGGGCATTCAGATCCTCCAACGGATTCTCACATTCACGCTCATGATCCAGTCGAACCCTTGGGCTCTCTGAGCCTTATTTTCTCCATCAGTCAAAGGAGAAGGGTAGACTGGAGGATCTCTGGGTCTCATCTCTGTCTTTGGTGACTGTGCCCCACGGCTTCATGGGAAGAGGCACTCTCTGTTTGGAGGAGAAGGCTCTGGAAGCCCAGGGTGGTTCTCAGCGTGTCCTCTTCAGGATCCACCTGGTCCCGGCTCTGGTTTAATCTGCCCTCAGGTTCCACTCAACAGCCAGGCTAAGTCCTGGTGCGTTTCTCACTCGCTGGCACTCTCCTGGCCCTTATTTCAGCCAGGCTATGTCCTGGTGCGTTTCTCACTCGCTGGCACTCTCCTGGCCCTATTTCAGCCAGGCTATGTCCTGGTGCGTTTCTCACTCGCTGGCACTCTCCTGGCCCTTATTTCACCCACGCTACGTCCTGGTGCGTTTCTCACTCGCTGGCACTCTCCTGGCCCTTATTTCACCCACGCTACGTCCTGGTGCGTTTCTCACTCGCTGGCACTCTCCTGGCCCTTATTTCACCCACACTACGTCCTGGTGCGTTTCTCACTCGCTGGCACTCTCCTGGCCCTTATTTCACCCACGCTACGTCCTGGTGCGTTTCTCACTCGCTGGCACTCTCCTGGCCCTTATTTCACCCACACTACGTCCTGGTGCGTTTCTCACTCGCTGGCACTCTCCTGGCCCTTATTTCACCCACGCTACGTCCTGGTGCGTTTCTCACTCGCTGGCACTCTCCTGGCCCTTATTTCACCCACGCTACGTCCTGGTGCGTTTCTCACTCGCTGGCACTTTCCTGGCCCTTGCTTTCCATTTTGGCCACAATGGTGACTCTCCTCTTTCATGTGGCTCCTCTGTGCCTTTGACTGAGCATCTCCTAGACTGGCTCCTGAGTTCTCTGGCCTTCAGCTTCTTTGTCTCCATAGATTCCTGGGAGCCACAGGGATTGATGGAGAATCAGGTACACCTGGGCTAAAACCCGGCCTCTGCTGCTGGGGATGGTGGGATGCCTGGGATGGTTTCTCATCTGTTCTGAGTTTCTTCATCTCTGAAGTGGAGACAACAAAACCTACCTTTCAGGGTACTGACAAGAATAAATGTAAGTGAAGCCCTGGCAAACAGTAGATATTCAGTAAATGTCAGTCCTTTCCTCCAATGATGAGTGAAGCTGGTTCTCCTTGCTGAACTCCACTAAAACCCTTCCTGTGGCCGTGTTTATCTGCCACGAGATGGCAATCCCTCGGCCACAGAAATATTTGGTTTTCTCTCTTATGGGAAACCAAAGACTCCAACTTAACTGCCTTAGAAAACAAGGAGCTTCTTATCTCACCGAAGAAGTCAGGAGGGGAGTGGAGGCTAGGGTAGACTAACCCAACTGCCTCTCTTTCTGGTCACCAGGAGGTTGCCACCACTCCAGGCAGATGTTTTGAGGTCAAAATTTTTTTTAATGGGCTATTTTTTTTCTAATATGATTCTAAAAACAAGAGAAAGCGCCTCCCTGTGTCCCACAGGCTGGAATTATGCCCTATACCTAAAGCAGTCATGGGCAAGGAAATTGTTTCCTGCCAGCAGCCAGGACCAAACTTGATCACCACCTGGTGTGGCCACTGTGTTCCCTCCTCTGGAGCACATGGTCACTCAAGGAGGACAGATGTCTGAACAAAATGGAAAATAGAGAGTTTTGTTAAAAAAAGAGAGGTGGGCGGCCGGGCGCGGTGGCTCACGCCTGTAATCCCAGCACTTTGGGAGGCTGAGGTGGGTGTGGATTACCTGAGATCAGGAGTTCGAGACCAGCCTGGTCAACATGGTGAAACCCTGTCTCTACCAAAATTAAAAAAAATTAAGTGGGCATGGTGGCACGTGCCTGTAATCCCAGCTACTCGGGAGGCTGAGGCAGGAAAATCACTTAACCTGGCAGACAGAGGTTGCAATGAGCTGAGATTGCGCCACTACACTCTAGCCTAGGCAACAGAGCGAGACTCCATCTCCAAAAAATAAGGAGAAGTAGGTGGAGGTGAGTGGGTTTGGGAAGGCAACCAGTGTATGTATATGCTTCAGCTGCATATGGAAGGGACCCCTCTTGGCTGGTGGGACCTTCATCTTTTGGACACTAATGTAATTTTTCAGATTTTGCCTACTCTAGTAATAACCGCTTGCACTGATTGAGCACTTACTAGGAGCTTTTCTAAGTGCTTTATCATATGAAATCATTTAATTCCCAGGTGAACCCCATGAGGCAGGTGCCGTTGTTACCCCATATTGATATGGAGGGAAGCTGATAACAGGCTAAGCAGGCATAAGTCGATGCTTACTTTGCATTCGGCAAAGGCGACAACTTGTTATGCCTGCAGCAAGACTCAGTCCATCGCAGAGAGAAGTCTTTCTGTTCCCCATCGCCTCACAGTCAGTGGAGCCTTGTGTTCCAGCCACAGCATTGTCTTTCTGTCTACGGAGCATCTACTTCAGGTGGGCATTTGGGAGTTTTCTTCCCTTTCTCTCTGGTGTCCTACCTTTCACATACCCTGCACCTCATCAGCCATCCATGCACCCTGTCTGCCTGTGGGGTCCCAGCTT